CCGTGTGCGCACGCGCGCCCGATGGGGGCGGAGCTTTTCTCGCTCAGCCTGCGGCGACCCAGGGGAATGCCGGGAGGGCGGGGTGCCTATGTCCGGCGCTGTCAGGACAGGAAGAGGCTCCACCTACTGCCGGGAAGGGGGAACTGGGTGACGCGGCGCTGCTGTTCCTGCACCAGGCACACAGGGCTCGCAGGCCCCCGCCCCGGGGGAGTAAGGAACTCTCGATTCTTGTGAGTGCTTCACCAGATTTGGATGCTGCAAAATCGTGGCCCTTGTCAATTATATTTGGATTCGGAATGTCAGTTGATCCAATTAAGACCAAGTGTACCTGTCAGAAGAGTTTACTTCTACATGTCAGGATGTTGAACTGGCGGTGGTGGCGGCGTCTGTAGTCCCAGTTACTCGAAAGGCTGAGGCGGGAGGATCGGTTGAGCCCAAGAATTCAAGTCCAGCCTCCGCAACATAGCGAGACTCCCTCTTTAAAAGACAAAAACAGTTCAGTTACAGACTTTCAAAAGACATTCTCTTTTGAACTTTCATTGAGTTTTATTGCTCCATAGGGATATATTTTAATGTCTTCCTGTTTGCAATATTGTAAGAATTGTAATTTGCTAAAAAAACAAAGGCTGAGAATTTTTTTGAGTTTCAGACGCTATTGTGATAACATGTTTGAACTGAGTTTGAACGAAATGTGCCAGTTCAGAGGACTTGTTCGATTCCATTGTAGGAAGCAGGTGGGTCTGCAAAGGCTCAAATTTCCGAACTCAAGTTGGCGAGGGCTGCAGAGAAAAGCATTTTATTTATTTATTTATTTAGAGACAGAGTTTTGCCCTTGTTGCCCAGGCTGGATGGAGTGCAGTGGTGCAGTCTTGGCTCACTGCAACCTCCGCCTCCCGGGTTCAAGTGATTCTCCTGCTTCAGCCTCCCAAGTAGCTGGGCCTACAGGTGTGTGCCACCATGCCTGGCTAATAGTAGAGACGGGGTTTCACCATGTCAGGCTGGTCTCGAACTCCTGACCTTAGGACCTTAGGTGAGCCACACACCTTGGCCTCCCAAAGTGCTGGGATGACAGGCGTGTGCCATTTGTGCCTGGCCTGGCTTTTTTTTTTGAAGTGGAGTCTGGCTCTATCGCCCATACTGGAACTCCACTTTGCAGGTTCAAGCAATTCTCCTGCCACAGCCTCCCGAGTAGCTGGGACTACAGCTGTGCACCACCATGCCCAGCTAAATTTTGTATTTTTAGTAGAGACGGAGTTTCACCATGTTGTCCAGGCTGGCCTTGAACTCCTGACCTCAGGTGATCTACCCTCCTTGGCCTCCCAAAGTGCTGGGATTACAGGTGTGAGGCACTGTAGTGGCCTTTTTGTTTGTTTTTTGAGACACAGTCTCATCTTGCTCTGTGGCCCAGGCTGGAGTGCCGTCGCGTGATCTCGGCTCACTGCAACCTCTCTCTCCTGGGTTCAAGCAATCCTCGTGCCTCAGACTCCCAAGTAGCTGGGATTACAGGCATGCACCACCACACTCAGCTAATTTTTGGATTTTTAGTAGGGACAGAGTTGCACCATGTTATCCAAGCTGGTCTCAAACTCCTGGCCTCAAGTGATCCGTCCACCTCAGCCTCCCAAAGTGCTGTGATTACAGACGTGAGCCACCTCGCCCAGTCAGAAAAACGTGTTGTTAATACTATCACACTGAAGTACTTTTCTGAGGAAAAATTTGATCTAAGAGAAGAGTCATGATTTACAGGATGATATGTAAATCCACTTCTGCAGATCCACTTGTTGTTTTCAGGCACAGTCTTAAAATAATTACTAACTTTTGATAGATGTGATGCTTCTGAATCAGAATTGTATCATCTTGTTTGAGGCTGGTGATCTATCTTTGACCTCCATGATGGAAGGTAAAGGTTGACATTTTGTGGAAGTTTCACCTTCATAATCAACTTTGAGAAATCGAAATTCAGAACTTAATTTATAATGAAATATGAGTTTCTGGAATGTTTTTGTTTTAGTTTATTGCTCCGGAAAAAGTTATATTGCACAGTAGGAGTAAAATATTAAATATTAATGTATGAACTAGCCTTATACCACATTAAAGGGGACAAAACCACCATGGCCGCAAAAGTGTTCAGCCTTCTCTATACAATGTAGAGTGGAACCATTGCCTCCATTTCCCACACATTTCATTTACACCTGACCTATAATTTCCCTAAGGCTCCACGTATCTTGCAGGACACAGAACAGGCACAACTCAGGTTGTAAGTAGGCAGGGGCAGCAGGATCTCACTGTGACTATTCAGTAAATATTGAAGAAATTATTCAATAAATAATATTATATTGCAATTAGGTAAGAAATATCTTCTTCATAGACCTGATCATTGCAAAATTCCATCTATATATATATATTTTTTCTTTTTTTTTTTTTCTGAATCAGGGTTTTCCTCTGTCACCCAGGCTAGAGTGCAGTGGTTCTATCATAGCTCACTGCAGTCTTGAACTCCTGGGTTCAAGAGATCTTCCTGTCTCAGCCTCCCAAGTAGCTGGGAGGTACACTAGGTGTGTACCACTACACCTGGCTAATTAAAAATTCCTTTTGTAGAGTTGAGGTCTTGCTTTGTTGCCCAGACTGGTCTCAAACTCCTTATTTCAAGCGATCCTCCTGTCTTGGCCTCCCAAAGTGCGGGAATTACAGGTGTGAGCCAGCATGCCCCATGCCCAGCATTGTGATGCTATTTTACTATATTATCTATTTATTTTGAGATGGAGTTTCGCACATTGACCAGGTTGGAGTGCAACGGTACAATCTCAGCTCACTGCAGCCTCTGCCTGCTGGGCTAAAGCGATTCTTCTGCCTCAGCCTCCCAAGTAACTGGGACTACAGGCGCGCACCATCACACCCGGCTAATTTTTGTATTTTTAGTAGAGATGGGGTTTCACCATGTTGGCCAGGCTGGTCTCAAACTCCTGACCTCAAGCAATCCACCTACCTTGGCCTCCCAAAGTGCTAGGATTACAGGCGTGAGCCACTGCACACGGCCTGACTATATTATTTCTCATGCCTTATAGTCATGACTATGTAGATAGTATATGTCATACTCACAATTATTTTATTATCAGCAACCATACAAACTGAAACCTGTTGTCTTTGACACTTGATGAAAAAACTAATTCTGTAAAATATTTAAAGATGTTTATTCTGGGCCAATACGAGTGACCATGGCCCAGAGTACAGTCTCAAGAGGTCCTGAGAAAGTGTGCCTGAGGCGGTCGGGTTATAGTTTGGTTTTATACATTTTAGGGAGACAGCTGTTAACAAGCAAAGACATAGGTCGATACCTGGAAGGTGTACATTGCTTCCATCTAAAAAGGTGGAGTATCTTGGGGAGGGGGCTTCAGGTCACAGGTGGATTCAGAGATTTCCTGATTGGCAGGTGGCTGACAGACAGAGTTAAGCTTTGTCTAAAGATTTAAGAAGTCAGTAGAAAAGAATGCTTAAGATAAAGGGATTGTGGAAGCCAAGGCCGTTGTTACCTAAGAAGTTTCTTAGGTGGCAGCCCTCAGAGAGCATGTGATGCAATGCCAGAGTCAGGTTGAAATTCGGTATCTTATTGCAACAAGGAGTCTGTTTTGTCAGTCTTATAATTTTTATTTTTAGGCCGGGCGCAGTGGTTCATACCTGTAATCCCAGCACTTTGGGAGGCCAAGGTGGGGATCACCTGAGGTCAGGAGTTTGAGACCAGCCTGGCCAACATGGTGAAACCCTGTCTCTACTGAAAAATATAAAAATTAGCCAGGCGTGGTGGTGGGCACCAGTAATCCCAGCTACTCGGGAGGCTGAGGCAGGAGAATTGCTTGAACTTGGGAGGTGAAGGCTGCAGTGAGCTGAGATCATGCCACTGTACTCCAGCCTGGGCAACAGAGCGAGACTCCATCTAAAAACAATAAAAATAAATAAATAAATAAAAATGAGAGTTTCCCTGCACAAGCTCTTTCTCTTTGCCTGCTGCCATCCATATAAGTCGTGACTTGCTCCTCCTTGCTTTCTGCCATGATTGTGAGGGCTCCCCAGCCGTGTGGGACTCTTAAGTCCATTCAACCCCTTTCTTTTGTAAATTGCCCAGTCTTCATCAGCAGTGTGAAAATGAACTAATACAGGCAGCTTGGATGTTAAAGGCAAGATGGATTTGGTCAGGCCAGATCTCCTTCACTGTCATAATTTTCTTTCAGCTTCACTCTCCAATAGACCATCCTCTTGTGGTAATAAGATAGCTTCAGCGGCTCCTGCCCAGCCCACATTCTCCTAGGTATCCCGTCCTGCTGGGGAAGACAGCCTGAGTCTCAGTTGTCTCAGGTACTGGTCAGATCATGTGAACATTCCTGACCCAGCCCCTTTGACCAGGAGAATGTGAGGCTCTGACAGGGCAGGCCTCTTTTACATGCTCCTCCCCAAATGTAAACCCAGTTGTGTCAGATCCCTACTTGGAACCCTTTGTGGTTCAACTCTTCATGTGAGTTCCAAGGCTCTGTGTGAGCTGACACTGCCAACCTTTCCAGCCTCTTTTCATCACACTCTTCCCCTCACGCTGTGAGTCCCTGTCTCTCTGGTTGTCTTCGGCTCCTGGAAAGCATTGTGCTCTGTCTTCTGCCAGAAAGCCCTTTCCCCCATGCTCACTTTGTTAATCCTGACTCATTCTTCTCAGGGGAAATGTTCTAAAGAGGCACTGAATGTGTATTTAATCAACATAAAATTACCTGTCTCCTCCCATTACCGCCACCAATCCCCCCCACCCCCACCACTGGAAAAAAGAAGAGAGAAAGACAGAATACTGACTATTTAAGTAAAAACACTTGACAACCAGGAGATACAAAAAGAAAACCATTATGCACTTCATGTTGTTTCTAAAAGCAAAAGATGAAGTTCTCATGGAAAGACTTCTTCCCTATACTAAAAGAGAGGGCAACACTCTTTTCTTCAAGGACAAAAAATTGAGTCCAGGAGAATACTGTGCAGACTGGTGGGAGTCACTTCTGTCTTTTAGGCCTCCTCACATAATGCAGTCATGTTTTCACAGTTCACTATTCTCGGTCCAACCCAGTGTATTGGTAACTGACTTAGGCTGTGTTACCTAAAATTTGGCTCACAATCTTTATAAGTTGGCGTATTTTAA